TATTCTGTATTCCAAGACTGAAATAAATAAATAAATAAATAAAAATAAAAAAATTTGATACTCAATGCAGCCAGTTCAAAGTAGTTTTGTAATTTAACGTTGAAATACGCCAACAAAACTGTGAAAAGCAAAGGCCGCCCACAAAGGCCCCCACCAGCACAGCTATTAGCTAACTTTATTGATTTCAAAACCGCCTTCAACATTCCAAAGCCGTTAACATGTCGTTTATAAATAGTTTTCAAGGTTTGCGTAAACACATTTCATGGCAATAGCTTAAACTCTACATGCTTCCTCCACTTGCCTAAGGAGCACCTGTTAGGCGAAGTCCCAGCTGTATAACCTGTAGGTATATGACTGCGAGTATACTTACCATGGTGTCTTCTCCCACAGATCGAGTCGCGTCGTCAAACGTTCCACGTGGTCTGCACTTTATCATAAACAGTAACAGCCAGTTCAAATCGACACTTGCCACGGAACAACTAAATCGCTTATGTTTGTAATGTTGCGCAAATATTTATCGTTCCTTTGCAGAGTGAAAGCAAAACGGCGAAAAAATTTAAAACAAAAATAAATAAGAAATTTGATGTGATGCAAAAATTTGAAATGTAAACAAAAAGGCAGGGTTGCTACGAGGGGTATCAAATTTAGGTGCCATTAAGGAGTGTATAAACTTTCGAAAACACATAAATAAATTGTGGATTACAAGTTTTTATTTATTTCATTAAAATGACTACCTCGAATAACCAAGTTAACTTGTAAATTAAATTTTTCTATATAAATTANTTGTACATTTCATAGGCAAATTCTTCACGACGATTCGGGTCGAATTCTAACCCAATATATTCGATTTCTAATTTAAAGGGACCATCCATGTTGTTTTTCGCTCCTACCGAGAGCCCAAAGTGCGTGACACGATCTAAACGAATCGGACCTTGCTTGTCCTGAATGCGGCCTTTTGAAGATAGGAAGAACTTTGAAAAAGGAATCTGTAATGATATTGTAAACCATGTATATACATATGGAAAATAGCATGATCCGTTTTCATCACCTTCACGATTTGCCAATGTGGGCCACCCCGAGTAAATAGTACAAAATGATATACATCATTCCATTGCAGGTCGAAGTATCCTTCAGTATGAAGATTAATTAGGTAGTTACGGCCATCTCCACGCACTTTCATGACTAAGGTATTATACTGTGTCCAGTCGTATGTTGACTCACGTTTAAAAGAGCGCTATAAATATTTTTCTTTCAATATACATGTCTCCCAGTTGTTTAGAATATTCCTTACCCGCACTCGTTTTGTCCGTATATTCGCGTAGCCAGTTCGTTTCACTATACCATCCTTAACGTGCTCCGAATTGACATCACCATGGAAAAGCCCAGCTCCAGCTGCACTTAATTCCAGCTTCGCCATACTTTTACCTTCCCGATGATCCGCATCCGTTGTTACAACCCATTTGTCCAGCGCATTTTCGTCTTTGAAAT